TACCGTGGGGCCCGTGTGCTGTCGATCACACTCCGTGTGTGTGCACTTTATATTGGCTCCGTCGACAGTGATAGATGGCTACGTCTTGCCTGGACCCTCGGCGGAGCAGACCTCGCAGTTTGCCCTCCCCACCCTCCAGTCAGCAATTTCACATGTTGGAGATAGCAGCGGTTCTGTTGGTGCAGATAAAGCTAATGATGAGGCCTGAGTTTCCCACTTGTTACACCGCCAGTCGATAAGGTTGGGATGCTTCCCTGATACCGTGTTGCTCTGATCTACCGCTAATGATGCGCTAGAATGACAGCATTTCATTTCATCAAGAGATACTGAAGGACGCAAAAAGGAAGTGAGATTCCTGGAAGAAATATATAGGACAATGTGATGGGTTTAAACTAGTTTCAGTGAACTCTACATACATGGCTCACTGTGTACCATAATGTTCAGAGAAAGGTTAGTAGGAAAGAAATGGTCTTTACAATTAGTTCTTACTACAAGGCCAACACAGATAGTGGTTCACTTCAACCATCGCTCAACCGGGACGGGGGGCGATATCGACTTCAGACAACCTTTGACCCTTTGCTGACGTCACACGTGGGAAAAATCACGTGTCCACAGCATTTGGGTCAGATAGCTGAGGAAGACTGAGTGATTCGGTCGAAAATTTCTGGTGAGTCAAATTTTGAGTTGGAGAAAAGTTTAAGTTTTCCATAATTACAGATAGTGGTGCTTGAAAAAATGATGGTTTAGTTTAGGTGATCTTAGCATCATCCGTTAACAAGTGATATTTCTTCTTCAGTAGCAAAAGGTTGAGAGAAAGGTTAGTATTACATAGGTGAGCAATGTTCTTAAGTTTTATTAAAGAGGACAATGCAGAAAATGATGGTTTACAACTAGTTCATGTGACCTTTCTGTGAGCATAAAGAATACATCCATTGAGAAGTGATATTCTTCACCCTGTAGCATAAGGTTCACAGAAAGGATAGTAGGAGGGCAATGGTCTCTATGATTTGTTCTTACTGTGATGCCAATGCAGTAAATGGTGGATTTAAACTAGTTTAGGTGAACTTTCTATTAGTGTGAAAAATGCCTCCATTCAGAAGTGATATTGCTCATCCGGTGTGTAAGGTTCAGGAAAAGGTTAGTAGGAGGGCAATGGTTTTTACTATATAAGAGTTAAACCATATCTCATATGACTGTTTAGGCCACACCGATTTAATTTTATGGATGACATCCTATGAAGACCCCCAAACTAGTGCGCGCGGGCGAAAAAAATAAAAATCCGGCCAAAAATAAAAATGCTACAAAACCACAGGAATACAAACCTGGTATTGTGAATTTGGCGCATTACATAGCGACGTATGTATACGACAGGCCGACACATGCTGGATTTTTGCGGAATATATGAATCGACACTGCTGTACGTATGTACTGAGTTCTTGAGTCGTGGAGCTTCGGTAGCCTGGCTGCCGTCAACCAGAGTTATCACCACCATGCACTACCCAGGCCTAAAGCCAGGCCAGAGCCTCGGAATACGTGTTTTTTTTTTTTTTTTGAGATCGGGTGAAAATCAAGGCGCGCGCGGATGTCATCCATAAAATTAAATCGGTGGTGTGGCCTTATTTTGTTTCATTGTCAAAAAACTAAATACAGGTACAGTGTAGCTGCAACATTGCAAGCTGTCAAAAATTTTACCTGCAATTCTGGAAATTTCACTTATCTTCAACTTTTAGACCCCAACAGCCTTTGGATAAAACAGTAAGCTATTACAACCTTCCTTTCCCAAGAATCTTTAAAAGGGAAAGTGACTTATTATGCTGTACTGCAGGTCTGATGAGAGGTTGAAAGGCGTGTGTCCTGGGGCGATATCCGACGTACCTTGTATAAAACATGATGAAAACCAAGCTGATCACAGATTCACAAACTGTACAACATGGTTCAGGCATGTACTCTGCAATCCACAAGGGAAAACCAGTAGTAGTGTGCTGGTATGTACTAATTGTAAGGGTTTTAGGCCGGGCCAGTTCAATTACTAGTATCTGGTTCGGTTTGGTCTAAAATTTGAAGAATATAATGGAAAATCCATGCAACAATTGTAAAACTAAAAGGACAAAATGTCAGTCTTACTATGACAGGCAAGTTACTCGATACAGTTGTAATGATATAGATCTTGTAGTCATTTGAAAGTTTGAGGACAGAGACAACATGTCAAAAGGTAGCAAACTTTCACGGTCTGAGAAAATTGGACATGTTCGCGGAACTGTACAGTATGTTCAAGGTGGCAGGAGGTGCTGAAGAAAGAAAGTCAGCAAATCAGTTGTTTGTTGTAATGATAAATTCGCAGTACAGAAGTGACCATGAAAACTGTGAATATAAAAGTACCACGAATATTAGTGATGAATACAGTATCTTTGGTTATATTGGCTGCCCCTTGATTCTAATTTTAAACAAATAAGCTCTCAATAAAGTCCGTAAGTTGATGAGTTTCAATTTGTGGGACCTTAGATGTTTGTCCTCTTCAATATGGTGAAAACAGCAAACCTTAGGCCAAAGTCAGCTGACATCGCCGGCCAATCAAAAGAGGGCAACCTCAAAGTGTACCGCTATCCACAACAAGTTCACTGTTGCCTCCTGTATGAACCCTTGTTCATTTGCAAGTCCGATGGTTGCATCCACGGATTGACACCTCAACACGAAAAACGGGAGGCGCAGCCCCCTCGGAGCGGCCGCGTGAAATCACGGTGACGGCGACATTCACCATCGTGTGGTGACATTTTCCTCACCCCTTTGCCGTCAAGCCCCAAGACAAATGTTTGGCCGTGATTGACATGCGCCTGGGATGGAGGATCCTGGCAGGGCAGGGAGGAAGATAGATGGGGCGGTGTCTCTGCTTTGCTGGATCATGTGGCCAATGTGTGTCAAGTGCACCCCGGAGTCTTTAGTGATGGACAGCTGACATTTGGGTGGGGAGGGGAGGGGGGCACTGCCGTGGGATAAATCTCAGCAAGGTCAGGATGGGTCAACCCTGGAGGATGTCCGTTAAGCCCATGATAACAAGAAAGATGTCCTGTTATATAGAAGGGAGACATTTATAGACAGGAGGAGAGATGGGGGTGATGTAGGAACAACAGATCACAACCCTTCCTCGTTTGTCAGCGTGAACTAAGTTAGCAAACAGCCGCCTTCATAAAGATGAGCGCACTGATAACTTTACAAGGATGCGCCGCGTCGTGTGCAGGGGGACGTCTCCTTATAAATCATATCCTTATAAATCGTCTGTCAAGAATAAGACGTCAGGATGACATCTCTCTCGCTGTGATATTATAAGTTTTCCCTGATTAATAGCCATTTCTCTGATTAAAAATTCCATTAAACCACTTTGCCAACAGACAGGGAACAGATGTTCAACTTCAAGCAATGATTGCTGAATGCATGGAGTATTTTGATGATTTACCATAAATTCATGTAGATTTTATACTTGTTTGCATCCTAAGCCTCATCCTCAGTTCCAACCTTTTTTTTCTTCTTACCCTATTTTCTAAAATTGATTCATTTCTCCTATATCTAAAATAATGTTGACTGCACTGATGTATACCAGTTGGATTCACCTGCAGCAACTGAGCAAGTCTATCTGTTGTTGTCTTAACTAATTACTTTACCTCAGCAGGTATATAGGAGATTTATAGTGGGAGCAACTTACTTAGAGTAAGACAAAGTACAAGAAAGTACACTTTTAGTTCTACACTCCTTAAATACATTTTTGTTTGACTGCCATTGAAATTGCAGTGTCCATTTTCAACTTTAAGAATTTGCCTACCACATGTATTCCAGTCTTCCCATGAAACAAGCAGTTACCTTAACCTAGCCTATAATGATTAAAACAAAGTTCATTTTACAAGAAGTGGTTGCAGCAAAAAAAGAGGCAGATTTAATCTTGACAGGTAAACTGGTGAGATCGAACCTGCGAGGTGATACCGAAAATCACTGGAAGAAAGAACCTTATTCTGTCAGACTTTGATAATATTCAGGCCCGTAGGTGGTGCAGGTCTTGCACTGCCTCAGCATATTGACCATATTGATCTGCCGTCCTGTTCTGTTGTGCTGGTGGTAACGCCTGGGGCAGGGGTCAGCCCCGGAAAGAGCTGCTCTACTGTGATATGTTTGTTTGTTAGCGGAGTATTGGATATTGTCTCTGGAGAGGGGGGGGGGTATCCGATCTTGCCCTGTCTTGGATTCATGATACTTGGGGCATGGATAATTTCATAACTTGCTGCGCAGACTTTTCAGCAAAATGTAACCTGCAATAGAAATTTAAAAATTTATCATACATGTTTTTTTACACACACACACACATGTGTATTGATTGAGGAATTCATGATTAAACTTATCAATTTGATTTGTTAGTTCTCTGATTTTTTTTAAGTATGATTAACCGGAAAAAACCTAATGAAAACAAAGTCTGAGGTCCAGTTTGATGCCTTGGTGGACTCAGTTTTATGTTGTAAATACACTCATATTTGAGTTTTCCTCCCTGCCCTCTGATTTTTTTATGTCTGCTTGCTATAGATTGAACTTGAACTTTCCAAGAACCAAGGAAATGCATTGATATGGCCTGATTAAAATAACTTTCAGAATCAATGTTTCAAGAATGTCTTCAAATCAAGACAAAGAGAATGGGGAGTTGCTAGAAACTTGAATGTGATTACTGCTGTATTGTCTTTATTGTCATTGTCATTGTCTTAATTGTTCACCTTTGTGCTAAGAAAACCCATTATGTCATATGTCATATATGTATATACCCTTGTTTAGAGACACTGCATTTTCTCAATTTGTGGCACATTTCACATTGAAATGTGTGATTTCCCTTAAGGATAGTCACTTTTTCTGGAGGTATAGTTTTATGCTATTCGCTCTCCAATGAGGAACATTGTGCCATTTCAAACCTTGTAAAGAACTTTGTCCAGATATGTAACTTCCAACCATTGCTTCTTGTGTTATCACAGCTCTACATCTCATGGTGTGACCCAACAACTGCAAGTGAGGTGAGTCAAAGAAATCAGTTTCTTCAGAAAGGTTTACCCTAAATACAACTAGAGTTCCCCGATCTCATACCTTCGCCAAATGATGTTAATCTTTATGACTGACAAATTATAGATTAGATTATTCCCCCCTGATTTAAGAAATAGAAACCTAATTTTCATGAATTATATCATTTTATCATAATCTCAACCAAAAGACAGTCTTATATTAACAAACAATGCATTCTAGCATTTCCTAATAAATTATGCAAACGAGGTCCTGATTTGAATAAATTATGTTTAATGATGTTCACCTCAATTTAACTTTCAAATACCACAAGTATGAAATTCCAGGCAGTTATCATTACATAATTATAAAATTTTCTAATTAATTATGCAAATTAGGTCATTATTAACATAATCAATATCTTCCTGTGTTTCTCTCGTTGTCAATTACCAATGTCACAAGCTTCAATTGTCCTATCATGGAATGCAGATGATTTATAGAATTTCCCCATAAATTATGCAAATTACATCCATATTTGCATAATTGTCACATAATTATATTAAGCATCAAGTAAGCTACCTACATAACAAAAATCACGACGATCCGTCCACCGGTTCTTGAGTTATCCCTTTTTGAATATTTTCAAGAATATATCCCTGCAGTTCCAGAGCAAGCCGCTAGGGGGCCCGAACTCACGTCACTTCTTCCCCAGCACAAGAGCTACCTACCATCCAAATTTCATCACCATAGCATGTCTAGATCATGAGATATCAAAACCGGAAGTTCAGCTGCAGTACCATAACAAGCCGCTAGGGGGTCCAAAATCTAATCATTTCGAGGTCTCATCAAGACCTACCCACCTACCAAGTATCAAGACAATCCATCAAGGCCTTCTCAAGTTAT